CAAGTATTGAATTGAAATAAAATGTGAAATATAAGAATTTCAAGTCTTGTGTTATTGATTAGTTCACATGTATTGTTATTATTATTAGCTGGAACCTCTATTTCATTACATGAGATGCCACATTACACTTCAAGTTCAAAGCTTGAGTGATTAACAAAGATATAATTTGGGGGGAATGATCAAAACTGATAAGACATATTTCTCAGACAAATCATTCTAATCTACTCACTTTGCTCTAAAAATAACAGCACAATGTGTATAACAATTTCAGATAGCAATAGTTTTAATAAACCATGTGGAATTCACTTTTCCTGATGGGCTTCAAGTAAGCAAACAAAAGTTCATGCTATTTTTTTTTTTTTTTTTTAAAAACATACTTGACAGTATTTTTAAAATCTTCTTGTAGCACATTTTAAAAAAATAGTTACATCAAGGAAGACAATGTTAATTGAGAATATTTTTCTTAAGTTTGACACTTATTTTACAACATGTAAAGCTTAGGCTATGACAATAAAATTGTAGAAAATTTATCTTTTTAGGCTTGACTGCTGTTGAATGTCATAAACAGAGATTGTCCATCATCAGAAAAATAATGTGTAGCATTGTTGGTAATTATGAATGCAGTGCATATTAACAAATACTTGGATATGTTAACAAATAGAAAAAAAAAAAAACAATGACAAATGATTAGAAGTAAAATTTTATTTTTGTATAAAAATTTTTCAAACTAAGGTTTCATTATTTTTTCCAAACTTTATTGAAACTTTACTCTGTAGCAGTCATACCAAAATCTACATACAACCAATACAAGGCACCACTCAAAGAGCAAGATCATTAAAAAAAAAAAAAAAACCTGTGTAAGGTCAGTTTATGTTTTCTCATCGTCTTACCATTTACATTTTATCAATTTTGTTTAGAGTGGATATAGAGAAGAGACCCAGAAGAGGGATTCTAAGGGTTGGTGAGTGAGTGACCAGGATCAAGAGGAAAGAAAAAGTGTGTGTAAGAGTATGGAAAACAGAGGTTCTTGAATTAAGTTCTAAGATAAAACACAACTTTATTTTTACCTATAAAGTAATTATAACCAGAAAATTGATTTGCCAGCCAAACACTGAAATCAAGTTCAAAAATTAAGATGTATGAATAGAAAATCTAGTGTCTAAATTGCTGAGTTTTAAAGAATAAATTTACCCATTTATTTTTTATGACATCGTTACTATTTCATTTCCTTAGAGTTGACAACAATTAGATGATAACATTTTTTAGAACATTATTAACTTCCCTATTTTTACAAATGGATTTTAAAATTTATATTTCCTTCTTTCTCAACAGCAATGTTAAAGAAGAAAGAAAGAAAAGAAGAAAGAAAGAAAGCTGAAAAATAATGTAGAAAAGTTGGCCAATGCCGTTTCCTTCTTTTATCATGTCACAAGAAACTAGAGATTCTTACAAGCAGGTGACAGATTGATCCTAGCCAACACAAGTGATGGCACCAACAATTACAGAATGGGGAAAGGCTTGAGAGGAGGGAGTTTCAAATTCTTATTTAAATGTTTTTTGGTGCATCTCATTCTCTGTTCCTTAAAAACAATTTCAAAAAATTATTTTCCCTCTACTTCCAGAATATTTTGAAGAACACTAACCATTGTTTTATTTTGTTTTTACTCTTTATTATTAATATAAAAAAGTCAGTAATAAGGCAGATTCAAGCTGTAACCCAATGGAGATGGTGGGAGGAATTCAAAAACATCTGTATGAAAAACATGTGAAAGCAAAAACTATACGTAAAGGTGATCTTGAAAAAGAAAATGGATAAATTGCTAATAATGTCTTGTGTCACATCTACTTCTGGAAATATTGATCTTTGTTAAGTTAGAAACAAATACTTCTGGAAATAAAGATCATACATTAAAACCAATACTGACAGATATTGCTTCAACATCTTGGAAGAACCAAAGTAAGAAAGAAAAAGACAAACATAAAATACTAAACTTTATCATAATGGCTAGAAGAATAATTGTAAAAAAAAAAAAAAAAAAAAAATGAGAAAATGATAAGGATATAAAATTTTAAGAAAAAGCAGAAGCTAGGAAATTTTAACCAACCTCATACTGTAAATGTATTTTCATCTTTGGTGCCAACTTTTTCTGAGATCACTTTTTTTTTTCTGAATTTTTATGAAATATGTCAAAATTACCCAACAGTGTCTATTTACTGTTACCATTTGAGATATCATATGATCAAATGTACCTACTCCACCCAATGAATAATATTCCTCCACAAAATGTCTGTATTTTAGCTACTGAGCTTTCATTACTGAAAATTTCTTTTGTATTTTTTGTTTCATTTTTTTTTCATACTATATGCAGCCATGTTTTAGGGCCTTATTTATTTACAGCATGAGGGCAGGTGAAAACAAATTGAAAGAAACAATGCTAACTGAAGATACTAAGACATATTAGTAATGTGATTGATACTGTTTCTAGGAATGAAACACTAAAAATTGCCTTTTACTACAGACCAATATCCTCATCTCTATTGATTTAGGTGTTAACTAAGCAGAATGTCTCTCCTCTAAAATGAAGAGGAGAATAATGAATATCCAAACTTCAGTAACAAAGATGATAAGAAGTTGAATTATGTGAATTATGTAAAATGAGAACCTGAAGGAAAATAGTGTAATGGTGATTGAAAATAGAAAAGGGCTATAAGACTATTTGGAGAGGGAGAGAAAATTATTAAAAAAAAAAAATTCAACAGGAATTCAAAACGGTGAGGAGTGGGTAACCAAAATGAGTCACTTACCACAAAGCCATATCAATAAAATATATCAACTGAACAACACATCTTGAATACTGAATTTCTTTTATATCATATGTAAATATATTTCTTAATAAAAAATAATAAAACAGAAAAAAAGATATTGTCTCCAAATTCTGTATTTGATATTTAGTGTCCTCAGAATGAATGGGGAAGAAAGTTATAGCAGTCCTTTTCCCCCCAAAATCACACCAGCAACCAAAGTCAAAACTCACAGCAAAAACTAAATTTAAATATTGTTTGTGAGTTTCTAATAATAATAATAATAATAATAATAATAACAAAAAAAGAGCATAATAGAGTCAGATATTATTTTTGTTCTTCCCTCACCTCCATCTATGAAATATTTGAATTCTACTGTCAATTTGAGTTTTATCTTTGTGATTAAATAAAGATTATCTTAAATCAAAAATTTCAAAATCATTAAGAGCAAAGACCATTTTAATGATTTTTATATTTTTTCTATTTAAATAATTTGCATAAATGAAAATAATATCATGCACACATCTGTCTGTTATATATATATATATATATATATATATATATATATATAGTGTATTTAGGCAGCAATTTTTCATTTATACATGTTTCATTAAAGACAACAGACAAGATAATATGATTAAGTTTTTATTTAATTTTTCTTGTGTTGAATCAAGTGTTTTCTTTTTTGGACACAGAATGTGTAGAAATGGTCCAAATGTTCTATAATTCCAAGCACTTTTGGCTATACTTTTAGCCATTATCAAGGTTGATTTTATTATTTCATTTTAATTGGGTGTGTCAGTTGTGTGCATGTTTTTAATGTTTAGTGAATCTTCATTTAGAAATATCATAAAGAAATACACTACCCCAATTGACCAGAACAAAAAAAAAAAAAAAATCAAATTAATTATCTACTACAAAAAAATTAAAACAGCTGACCTTATCATAAAAAATAACAGCACACCAGCAAAATCAAAATTACAATGAATGAACATTATCTATGAGTTCAAATGCCCCTTAAGGAACTGTGTTCCTGATCAAACTGAATTCATAAATAATTACGTCGGTCACACAATTACATGCCTATCCAGATGTCTTATGTTACACCTATCTGACCACAGCTCTATTAGAATCCATTTAAACACACACACGCAAGCAAACAGAATCCATCTGAAATATACTAGTAGTAAATACAAACATAAATAATTATTTTTACATAATAATGTTAAAAAGATTAAAAATAATTGAAGTCTTAATAAAAATAAAAAGACAACACTTAAAATATTAAATACGAACACGGCTACAATGTGCCATGTTCTGAAAATAAAACATCTCTATAAGACTAAAAACATATACACAACCCACACATCCAATTAAATTGAAAAAATAAAATCATCCTTGACAATAGCTAAAAGTATAGCTGAAAGCGCTTGGAATTATAGAACATTTGGACAGTTCCTACACACTGTGTCCAAAAAAGAAAACACTTGTTCGAACACAAGAAAAATTAAATAAAAAGCTTAATCATAATACCTTGTTTGATGTCTTTAATGAAACGTATATATATATATATATATATATATATATAATGTGCATATGTAAGGTTTAAGAAAGCAAATACAACATTCTGGGAAGAGGGTTCTTGTATGCAGAAGAATTACTTTTTTTTAATTTTTAAGGAGTGGACTAAATAATATTTTGTGATAAATTTAATATTTCGGGCACATTTTCTATGGCCATTTTTTTTTTTTTTACTGTAAAAAATGTTAAAAAGCATGGGGTGGAGGGTGCAGCAGGTTGAAATTTTAAAATTTGCTTGTCTTTTGTCCTTTTTTTTCATTCATTTGCATTGCATATCAGATGAGTTAACACACCAAAATAGGATGGGAAGGTTAACTTAATAATTAAATGGAAATGAATTTTCAACATATAACCAAAAAAAAAAAAAAAAAAAAAAAAAAGCCCCAAGCAATTGGGAAAAAAATGCATCATATGAAATAAGAAATAGAGAAAAAGAGAGAAATTAAAGAGAGAGAATGAGAGAGAGAATTTTAAATGTAATTTTAAAAATCCATCAAATACCAATTTAGATATACATGAAAAAAATTAATTTTGTATTTTTTTCTTTTTATTGTAAGGGAAAATGTATCTTCATTTTGAAAGTTTTTGTTAAATTTAATTCAACAAACCCTCTCCAACTATGTGCCATTGGGAGTTTGCAAACATATATACTCAATAGTAGTACAATAACCAAGGTCCAGCGAAGAAGAGATGGCCGGATTTTCTGGAATTGAAAGGACATTAGCAGTATTGGGATCTCCTGCTTGAGTAGTAAGAGTAGTGCTATCAGCCTGGAAGTGGGTGTTGGTCAGATTGTCTGCACGAAACTGGGGATGTTGAATAATGTCACTCCGGTACTGAGCATTTGAAATGGTATGTATACTGGTTTCAGCTGTTTGCACAAGCTGTTCTTGATGGGTTTCAGGTTGTTCTGTGTCTGTTTCAATTTGCTCAGTATCACCAACTGTTTGGACACCAGTCTCTGAAATCGCTGCTGCTATCATAGACAAATGGCTGTCTTGAACAACAGTAACTTCTGTGCCCTCTGTCGCCTTGTCTACTTCTACATCCTCATGGGTCAAAGAAATCTGTTCATCATCTGCTTCTTCTGCAAGTAGCAGGCTGTTCTGATCTTGAATAATGGTTTTAGACATTCGCTGTTTTCGTTCTTTGATCGGAATGATTTGACTACCTTCAGGAGGTTTGCGTGGGTCCACTTCTTTGTTATAGAGACCAGTGAATGCAGACAGAACTTCCAAGCTCTTATGGTCACACTGATCATGATGAGCTTCAAGCAGGTGGTGGCGGAAATCTTTGGTGCTGTTTGTGCCAAAAGGGCAGAACTTGCAAGGATAGATACACATGCCTTCATGCCGCTTTGTCTTGGTGATGTGTTTTCGGATATTCTCATGAGTATTACAAGAGTACGAACAATAAGGACATTTATAAGGCTTGGAGCCAATGTGGATACGCATATGACGCCGCAGATGAGTGCTATTTCCAGCTTTATACGTGCAATAATCACAATGGTATGTCCTCTCGCCAGTGTGAATGCGGGCATGACGGGCCAGCCGGGTACGAGTAGCACCTGAATAACCACAGATATCGCAGAGGAATGGCTTCTCCCCTGTGTGTGTGCGTAAATGGCTGGTCAGTTCACTCTTAAAAACAAAGTCCCACTTGCAGTCAGGAAATGGACACTTATGAGCACGCTGTCCATGACGGCGCATGTGTGCAACTAGTTGAGTCTTAAGCGAAAATGACTGCCCACACACTTCACACATATGGGACAACTTGGCAGCATCTGGGTTCTCATGCTGCTTCATGTGCACATTGTATGAGAATACTTTCTGGAATTCTTTGCCACAGATCTGGCACTTTCGCTCAGTGAGACCAAGATGACGAAGAATGTGACGACGTAGGGACAGGCTTGAAATGAACCCAGTTTGGCAAAAGCGACACAGAAATGGCTTTTCTCCTGTGTGCATACGTAAATGTTCCATCACATGTTCCTTTTTCAGGTTCTTTGAGCACTCAGGGCACTGGACTGTGCTGTAACGTGGTTGTTGAGCAATTTCTTCCAGATAGTCCCAGTACTTGCTGCTGGTGATATCATTCCCTTGGTACATGTTCCTGACTGCTTCCTCATTATTTAAGTGGTTATGATGCATCTCAACATGAAATTGGCACCAACGCTCATCATGAAATTTCCTACCACATTCCTCACAAGTGTACAGGTTGCTTTCATCATTCTTCAGCATATTCGACTGATGCATGCGGCCTGCATAATGCACACGCAGAGCCTTCTCTGACAAAAACACAAGGTCACAGGCAGTACATAAGAAAACATGCCCAGAGTGTATGTCAAGATAATGTGGCCTTAGGTCACCATATTTTTGTGCTGTAAAGTCACAATGCTCACATTTGTAAATTTTGGGTTTATGCTTTGGTTTGTTGCGTCTCACAATTGGTTGTTTTCTTGGAGTTGGTTTTACGACGATTCGCAATCTCTCACCATTGACACGAACTTTGCTGCTTGTATTTGGAACACTTTTTTTGGAACTTACTTCTTCATCACCATCCAGGCTAACTTCATCAATAGGCACAAGATCAGGGTTAAACTTTTTCTTTTTTTGTCTTGGTTTTCGGATTTTTTCTGGAGTCACCTTCTTCATATGCTTGTTAGTTTTCATATGCATTTTCAATGAATAGTTATCTGAAAAACTCTTGTTACATAATTTGCAAGGGTATGGTTTTTCCTTTGTGTGGCGCCTCCGGATGTGAATTTCAAGGGCAGACATTGAATGGCACTTGACATGACATTTAGGACATTCTGGTTTGAAACGGCCCTTGCGACGGGGTGATGATTTTACCTGCTTACCATTCTTGTGTTTATAACGAATGTGTCTCCTTAGCCGGACTGATGAATGGAGTATAATATCACAGAAAGGACACTGTATCTGATAACGGCATTCTTTCACAATGCATAATTGTTTCTGCTGTTCCAAGGACTGCTTATGCTTTTCATCACTTTTCAGGTGCGCCAGCATGTTTGCATTATTACTTAATTTCAGGTTGCACACTGTGCAAAACATGGGTCCAACTAATGCAAGAGAGTTGCACAAATGCTCATTGGTGTTCATGTGATCAAGCAAGTCCTTCTCACGGTTGAAGTAAAACTGACAAATGCTACATTGAAATGGGCAAAGGCGTATGACATAACGATAGTATTTCTCAAGCATGTGGAATCCATCTGGATGTGTTTTTGCTCGATTTTGGTGGTACCGAGTCAGAATGTGTCGGCCAATTACATACTTACTAAAGAATGATTTGTCACAAACCTGACAGTGGTGCACAGATTCAGAGGTATTATCTAATATTTTTTGCCGTTTCTTGGTGCGTTTTTTAATGGCATTGCCGTCATCTCCAACATCTTTAGAAGTAGGTAACTCACTCACTCCAGCTGAAACATTTCTAATATGCTTACAATCATGGCTGTTACACTCAGAACAGTGATTTTCCTTCAAGCTTGATTTTAATTCCTCCTGAACAATTGCAGAAGCACCATCGGTACCTAAAAGAGCCCCTGAGTCCTCTTCTGTACCAACCTCTCTGGTAGTTTCACTGTTTCCTGGGACTGTTGCACCACTTTTCAGCTGTACTTCTAGGGGCATCTCACCAGGCTTCCATTTCCCTCCTGTGTATCCTGGGTGAGGGAATGTTTTGCATGAGCTTGGCCCTTCTCCAGGTTTCCACTTGCCACCAGTGTGAGTCCGTGGTGGAGCATTATCTTCATCAGTGGAGTAATCATTAGAATCACTGGAAAATTCAGGATAGGAAAAATCAAAATCTTCATCACTGGAAAAGTCCAGGCTGCTGAAGATGTTGGAGATAGGCAGGTCACTGTGGTTGTTGGATGAGCTCTTGTCCAGTGTACTTTTGATGACTTTTTGGCTTTTCACTGGAGAAGTGTTTCTCTCTCCATCTTCTTTCTTGCTCTGCAGTTCCAATGAATGGAAAAAGTTCTCACCACTTTTGAAGGGTGACGATGGTGTGGTTATTGATGGTATTTGATCATTTTCCTTGTCAGGTGAGACAGCTACCTGATCCTCTTCATGGGGCACTTCATCTGTCATGGTGACATCTGGCTCTTCTGCTTTTTCTTCCAAAGGAGGTGGTGGAGGAGGTGACGGGGGAGCTGGCGGAGGAGGTGGTGGTGAAGGTGGTGATGAGGGTGGAGGAGCCGTGGCAGCCTCAGCTGGCAAGTCAGTCTGGGTTATGACACTTGTTATTTCCTCTGAAACAACTGGCTGTGATATCAATCCAATGTTTGAGCTCTCTGGAGCTTCCTCAGATGTCACTGGCCTGAGTGGTGGAGTAATCATTGAGTTCTCTTTGCTGATAATTTCGGTAGAGATTGTTATGCTTTCTGTAGCTGGAGGCAAGTTGGTCTCCTCTTCAGTGGCCACAGTGTAGGTATCAGCTGACTCGGAATCAAATATTGTTTCTGAGGGTGCAGCTGGAGGCACAGTGCTGAGTGCATTGAGAGCCTGAGTTGCTGAGGTCTTGCGTGGATGGCAACCACTTTGTTTATGTTGTACATAGTTCATCAGACCAATAATGGTCGTGTGGCAACTGAGGCACATGTGCATATCCTGGTCAGTCGCATTCATCATGATTTCAAGCAGAGAAAGTGCACTAATCTGGAAAATATAAAAACATATATATATATATATATATATATAAAATACACACACACACACACTTACAACTGGTTCAAAATATAAAAACAAGAAAGATAAATTATTTTAATATAATTGAATAAAAAAAGTATAATGAAAAATAAAAACAAATGCAAACAAATATTTTTGCTTTACAAAAAATTTAAACAGTTTTAAATGTTTAAAATCTTTAAAATGCAGAAAATTTTTTTACTATCATCACCTTTTGTATTTTGAATGACAAAGCTACACTACAATTCTTGACTTAATTTTTCATTTCCTCTTTTTTTTATTGTTTTAAAAAACAAACTAATCTACAAATTTATAATTTATTCAATATTGTTTACAAAAAGAATAAAGTTTGAAATGTAAATGGAAAGAAAAAATTGACAAAACATGATTTGCTCACACAACAGTAAAGATTGTAAGGTACAAAGCAGTTCATGTCAAGACCCAAGAAACCTTGTTGAACAAAATCAAGGAGCCCAGTATTCTTTGGTTCTTCTCTAATGAAAAGAATTTCAACCAGGTGCAGAATATGAACTGGAAGAATGACAGATGGCTCTGCACAAACCATGGTGTCATGTCATCTTTGATGTTTTTTGGGTTTGAAAGTACTGTGAATTATGCCATATCATGTCACCCAATTTTGACCCACAAGATGCCAGGGGCACGACCACTGCCTCTATCAAGGTACTGAGAAGTTCATCCTCATTATTCCAGCAAGAATCTGTCCCCAACTCACATAACCCAGAAGTGGTTAACCAGGACATTTCACAAGCATCTTACCCAACATAGCATTCTTGAATCCTCTAGTCTACTATATCTGAAATGTCATTGAAAGGAAAAGAGCAAACAGCAGTCCTACAATTGTTTTTTGTGGATATGATTACCAACATGACAGTGAAACATTTAAACAATTTCTTCTGAGGTTGTATCAAAGCCATCCTTGAGGCTGGGGTTGATTTAATTGAAAAAAATCTTTTCTGCTTTTGTAACTTAACATAATTTAATAAAAAAAAAAAAATTTGATTTTTTTCTATTAAATATGGTTCACTCTATATATGATACTGTTTGGATTAAAGGGGTGATTTTTATTAATCTATATTAAAAAGCCTTTTTATAGTAAAAGATGACACAACAAAGTCACCTTTTGCTGTTTGTTAGCTAATTTTGTCAGGCTTGTTGTCAACCACAGTAGATAAAAGAAAATAATAAATATTAATCATTCAATTTTTTGGTACTGATGCCCAACGGTACAATTGCCAAAATTGTGTAATCTTATATTTAATAATTAGTAAATTTGGGGTTATCAATACTTTTAAAAACAGCTCAACTTACATCTGCAAACAGCTTCACTAAGTCTACATTTTTGATGAAAAATATAATCTAGTAGTTTGTAATATAAGCATCAGAGAATAAGACAAACTAAAATTATCTTTTATACACTAGACATATGGTTTTAGGAAAATTCTGATGGTGCAGTATGAAACAATTTTTTTCCCATAGTAAAACTACATTTGTGCTTGCTTTCTCTTTTTTATTCTTCATACCTTAACAGGTGTAATTGCCAGACAATAGATGATCAATTGTGTTAACAGGTACGCTGATCACACAAAAGCTGAGGAAAAGAACCAGCATCAAGATGAATGAAGAGGGAAACAATTTTAAGGTAAAAAAAAAAAAAAAAACAGAAAAAAAAAGAAATGAAATGAATCAATAAGTAAAAGAAAGGTAAGGAAATTATGTCAAAATCTATACATGAAAAATCAACCGGCAAGCAAAACACATGCTATTGCAATCTATAGTAAATGGAGAGGAAGAAAGAATAGACAAACAGTAAAGTAAGAAGGTAAAAGGAGGATTGAAAAAGATGATATAGATTGAGGTTGAAGAGAAGCTTAGGAAGTGATAAGAGGAAGAAAGACATAAAATTATGGTCATTGACAAAAAGAGAAGTTAGTATATGAAACTAATGTGTCAAATATTTTTTCAGTTTTGATTATTTTTATTTCCAGTCTTAGAAGCTGCAAGCTATAAAACTGTCTACAACTTTCAGAACACAACTTGGGATGATGAGGCAGACAAAGTGATGGCTGGACAGAGAATTAGGTAAGATGGTGAGGAGGTATAGAATGCTGACAGAGGGTGGGGCAGTGAAGAAAGGAATAAAAAGAAAGAAAGCATTATAGAAAAGATTGAAAAGACAAACAAAGAAGAAAAGCATAAATAGTGACTAAGAAAGGCAGATAGATTTGAAAGAAAGGAAAGTAATGCTAGAAAGCAAAAAGAAGTGAAAGAGAAGGAAAATGAGAGAGAGAGAGAGAAAAAAAAGAAAAAGGACAAATAAAGAATGATAGTGAAAAGTTGAAACTTTATGATAGGAAACGATTTTGAAAAGGAAAATGCTGCAAAGATTATTTGATAGGATGAGGAAGATAATGTAAGAAAATGTTTTATAGAGGAAATAAATGAGTTATTCAGAATGAAAGAAGAAAAACAAAAAAGAAACATAAAGAGAGGAAGTTATAAAAAAGGAGAAAGGAAGAGGAGGGAATGGAGACAGAAAAGAAAAGAGAGAATAGAAGAGAGGAGAAGAAAACTTTTGAGTGAGAGAGAAAATGTTGAGAGAGAAAGAAAGCATAGCGCTTTTCCTTGTCAGACAATAATTCATATCTGAAGATACATTATTCTACCAATTTGTAATCTAACTGCAGACTTTTGACAAGTTTATTTGGTATGCAATAGAATAAACCTGATTGGAGAAGTTTTTATGGTCTTTTCTGACATTAGTATGTGAACAATCAAGCATTAGGCACCAACTAAACACTGCACTATCATTGAACCCTACAAATGCAATCAATTGAGTCGAATTTCAACACATTTTTCTCCCACTCTTTGCTTACAGTTTTCACTACTTTATTTCCCCCACTTCAGCACAACAATTTTCATTCTCCATCTTTTGATTAGGGAGAAGTAATTAGAATTATATTTAGATAAATAAACTATATCTTAGATTACTTACATTTGATTGTTGATCTTTAGTGGGCCTTAAGTGGAAGCTGATTGAATGCAAAGTATGTACCAAATGCTAACAAACGGAGATCATTAACATGGCAGCTTCTAATCTGACACAGAAAATTAAAGGCACATTGTGCTCATGGTACTAGCCCTTAATCACAGTGATATAGAGCTTCTTGAAAATGGCCAGGAGAGAAAAAAGACTGACAGGTGACTGTGTGTCTGGGCCCTACAGGGGCACCAACAGTAATATACACCAAATCTATGGCATCTGATGGTTCTAGGTGTTGTGAGCAATGAGGGCCATGTCATGCTACTTCACTTTCTACTACTGCCTAATTTTGTGATGTTGGACATGGTAGTCAAACTCTGAATGACTGGAGAACTGTTAGTGTTTTTTTTTACAGTTTTGATATCTCTCTTATGTGGCCTCCTTTTCTTACTTGAATAAGCCAAACTATTATGGTTGAACCATTATCACTGGTAGACCAACCGGAAGTCCTATGATACAATGGCCAATATAAATGATCCATGTATGAAGTCACTTTCAAGGCCATATCAAAGCAGTCAAAGTTTTATTGAATATTTTTGTTTTTCTAAATTAAACATATATTCAAATTTTCTTTAAATATATAGATTTGTTTCTATTGAATCTCGTTATTTTGCTTTATAATTTGTTTTGAATTACCTTTCACGACTTGTACATAATCTTACCTATTTTTTGCCTTTTGTGGGGCTTGTGTCACCAATGATGCATAAACACATGTTGGCTACACAACTATCACCTTATCCCATACGTTAACTTGCCATCTGTCCAGTCAAAGTACCATTCATGTTCATAATAATAAACACAGTCTGCTAGGTATAAATATTTCTACAAGTATATGCTAAATACTCATACACAATAAATATATCTAAAATATACAATATTTTAAAAAACAAATGTTTCAGGTTTAAGAAACCCTAAACATGAAACAAAAACTAAATATGATTTTCTTCAGTTTGGGAAGTAGAATTTTAAATATATTTAACAATTGATAGATACACTGAGCCAATGTTTGGGATTCTGTTTATAGCACATTTCATTAGATACCTAAGTTTGTTACTTCTAGTGCCTTCCAATATCTTACTATTTGTTAAAAAAATACACGTTCATGCATTCAGGGTTGGCCAAAAAGTTCATTCTGTTTAAGTAAAAGAATCTTTTTTTGTTTATTTTCATATTGATTTTATTGAACAAAAATTCATTTTGTTCCTTTTGTTCCACTATTTTCTACTATCTCAGTTTCTTTCTTAACCAGCACCCACTCCAGGTGTCATTTACTGGTTTTTCCAGAGAAATACTAACCCAAAGTGAAATATCTAGTGAATATGGCAGATGAGTGAAAACTTCCTGGCTAAACAATAACAATATTTGCCCAGTCACTAAAGACACCAGATAGTACAGTATCCTATTGGAATAATAGTATATCCTTTCTATTATATATAATGCTTCTCATAAATGGTTGTCTTCAGTTGGTCTAAATGGCAGCAGTTCAAGTCAACTGATTTGTTCTCTGGAAGGAGATCAAAGACTCAATACACATCATGTAGTGGCAGTTTATTTCACTTTTTTTATATTCCATATTGTTGTAAAATATCCTTTTTTCATCAAATGTCACAATTTGTTTTCATTATGCTTAAGTAGTAATCACAGATTGAAATTTTGGTTTAAGTTTTCTTTTTCTTCCATTCATGTGGAAGCTACACATCAAAGTAACTAAAAAAGTCAAACTGGTGTGAATGTTTTCCATTTTGATTTGGATATTTTTCAGTATATTAAGTCTTGACTGTGCCATATAACATTAATAATTTTCATGTAATATCTGGATTCAATCACTGTCAACTTCAAATAGTGTACACAAACATGTAAAATTCTTTAGAACAAAATCTCT